GAGAGAGAGAGAGAGAGAAAGTGTTTGTACGTTGAGAGACACATTTATGGCCCAATCAACAGTGTATTCAAACATAGTCACACCTTCTTGCAAAGGGATGCGGTGTACAGCCACGACGAAAAGCTAGCACGAGGGTTCTGCGCGAGCTGGAAAGATCGAAACTCGTTATCTCATTATTGATCTGATTTGAACTCGAAGATCTAGGGGGATTATTGTATATTCGAACCACGTGGTTAAAAAGAAAAATTTGAAAAGATTCGTTTTTAAATTATACATCGGGGAATCGGGGCTGCTCGGACACGAATAATCCTTGTTTAGATGGAAATATTTCTTCCGAGCGTAGGATTTTTGATTTTTATATATCGGCGAACAGTTTTGAAAGTATCGATCGATGATCATAAGAGGAAATTTTTAAGAGTGTCGCCGTGGATCGATCGTCATAACGCGCGTTTTTCGTGGCAGCTGTACTTACCTGACTCTTCGCCTTCGAGATCAATGGGCCGGTGTGAATGCGGTACACATTTTTCTACCCACGCATCCCTCGAATTTTTCTCGTTTGGCTTCGATACAAAAAGTATCTTTTTCGTTGTACAATCATCGTTGCATGATTTAAGATCGGGATTGCATTCGAATAATTTGAGTCGAATTCGAAGGTATCAAATTCACGGGCTTTAGAACGAGATTTATCAACGTGTGTTGTTTTATGTGTGATCATTTGCATCAATTGTGACGTACAATTAAAAAGTATCAAACAAATAAGTTTAAACGTGGTTTTTAATTCAATCGAGCTTTATAATCTTTTTATTACGTTAATTACAATTAAAGAAAAAACTCGAGTAAACGACACGCTTGTCATTTACGAAATACAATAAACAGTCTTGGAAGAAATCGAGATAATTGGCGGCAGCAAACATTTCTAATTATATAATTTTCAGCGTGCAAGATAAGTTGAGCAATATAAAACGACTCATTATTACATAATATTTTCGATTTTGAATGTAACAAGCCGTAATCAATTATTTTGTCTACACAGATTAAAAAAATCCTCGATGATCCTCGTTTATCGTTTCACAATTGATAAGCCGTATGTTTATTGATTTTCTGAACAAAAATATCGTATTTCAAAAATTCAATACCGATATTGTTAAAATTAGATTTAAGAATCTAATCAGATATTTGAGGATGATGCGAATTTTAAGCGAATTCTCCAACCTACTCCACCATCGTAGAATCACAAATTCCTCCTCCTCCCTCTCCTCTTTTGGCCATCTTCTAATCCGAGTGGCCGAGTGGAAATTACACGGAAGCAAATAATCCTAATAACGTGTCCCAACAAACGCAATAGAGATCGAGGAGGGGGAGGGGAGGGGAGGAGGGGAAAGGGAAAAATTACGCCGACCGCACGCGGGCCACATGAAAATTATAGGACGGTAAATCAACGGAAGCCGGGAATCGTCGTCGTCCTCCTCCTCTAGGCTTGTTAATCCTAATCTGCATTTTTATCCTCCTCGGAACCACCCATATCGTTTCGAGAAGAAGAGGAAAAAGAGAGAGGGGCCATCCTCGTCGCTTCGCGGCGGCGAGAGAGGCGCTTTTCGTGGCGGGCTCGTATTTTCAAAGCACTTTAGAACCATTTAGCTGAATGCAGGACGGAGTTTATGGGGGACCACTGATGGCGTGGGGCTCTTCTCAGCTTCACCTCTCACAAAAGGGGGCCAGGTGTCGGATCGTCCGCCACCATTACCGAACTGTATATCACTCTCCCTCCCTCCCCGACCATACTCGTCTTCGTATTTCGTTTTCATTCGAACACGCGTGTTTCGTGTTGCCTTAATTTTCATTTATTATACCTGTTCAACCTGTATCCATCCCCTTCGGCCAGAGATTCATATGGTTTCGATGGATTAGTTGGAAAATTGTGGCGGACTGGCGCGAGTTTGACGTATAATAAAATGTAGTAAGTTATATAGCGAGTTGACGTTTCCCTTTGTGGGGGATATCGAAAAATAAATAAGGAAAAACGATTGTGAAGAGCAGAGAGTAATTAACAAGTATTATCGACGCGAAACAAGAGATTTATTACGAGGTAGTACGTACCATGTTTGTTTTATGACCCTCTGCTTCCGTTTCTTTAAAATTTACTACTTTCTTTCTATTAAAAGATACAATAATATCTTTACATTGAAGGGTATATATATTTATAATTCGAATACTTCAATCGAATTACAATAATTTTTATTTATTATTATCGTAATGGAATTAACAAGCAATTAATTTTTTTGTAAATTGGGATTACTCCTTGAAACATCGAAGCAATATTTCCCCTCTAAAGTGATCTATCAGAGTTCCAAAGAAGAAAGACATTGGCCCATTACAAATGGCAGCTTAAGTGGCCATCAGATCTCGTAGAAAACGGGCGGATAGCTCGCGTTAATCCCATCTTTACGAGAATAAATTAGTTTGTACCGAAGAGTGGGCCAAACGGAGTCGAGAAAGGAAGAGGAGAAAATTAATGTACGTCGCGGGCCACGGCGTATCCGAGATTCCTCGAGGATGTTTTTTCGAGATTTCGTTTCTTTATATCCTTTCCGCGGCGACCCATCAAACCGCTCGTTAACTGACAAACGCCGTGTTAATACGAGCTCGGCTGGAAGAATATCGGTATTCAAGAACGGACTCGTGACTCGCGCCCTGTTTTATTAAAATGTTCATCCGCGCGCTTTTCGAACGCAAAAAGTGAGAAAGAGTAGCCAAGTGGAGGAATATATAGTTGGATATATTTGATGTACGAAGATCTCTACGACAGATTTAAATTTAATATAAATAAAGGATCGAGGAATTTTTCAAAGTTCGCGAAAGTTTGAAAAGTTTTGAAGTTTTGCATTTGTCAGATTATTTTTAATCTTTTTTTATCAATTATTTATAATTTCTGGAATGTAAATATCAATTTAAGATATTTGTTACGATTTCAAACTTGAAATTTATTAAGTCCATCTATCTTGTTTATTGATTAAACTGTAAGTCAATTCATTTAATCTTCAAAGAGCTAGAACAGGAATTGACTGTAACAATATACACACACATACATATATATATATATATATATTTGCTTAACTCTTGTTTCATTAATTGTAAAAGGAAATCAAATTTAAAAAAAGAATCCTCCATCTTTCCTTTATTTGATTACGATATATTTTTCAAATATAAATAATTTTTCAAATTATTCAACTCCCCCCAAAAAAGTTGAGAAAGTTTCGGAGAACTTTACAGAGTTTGAGTGCAAAAAGTAAGAGATTTTTAGAATTCGAGGACGAATAAAAATCTTGTGCACAAACATCAAAGTAATTTAATTGCTGGAATGATGAAAAATTCCAAGGAAAGTTCCTTCCAACTCCGTTACGATAATGCGTTCCGGATCCGTTTCAGGCACCACGATTTTACGAAGGTTCTTTCCTGGAAAAGTGGTGGGGAGGGAGGAAGTTGCGAGCACCTGCTCGGTGCGCCGCGGGTACGGGTTGCTCAATTTCACTCTTTTCAAGGGGTCGACAATCGAAGCCACTCGAGAGAGGAAAGTGACACCACGACCGCATCCCCTCTTCTCTCTTTCTCTGGCCACAGCTTTACAAGGATTTAAACAACTTGGAATGGTCCATGGGTCGTCGCACAATACCCAGTGACGGATCTTTTAACAACTGCGATCCTTTACACCACCGATGCGAATCCGCCATTCAGCCAGCTTCCATTCGACACTGTCCCTCAGAGAGACAAGGACGTTCCTCAAAGACCACACGCCCGGTTCATTAAAGCGCTGCAAGTGATACTATTTCTCTGAGAAATTCGCCCGAAAGACGATTGGTTTAAACTATAATATAATGCAACAACTTTTATATGGTTTTCAACAGACTTTGGAACTCTTTTGATGGGGTGTTCTTCGTTTTCCATTTTCTTTTCTTCACTCTTATTTATTATTGTTAAATTTTATATGATTAAAATCTTGAAATGTCAATATCAATATCTTTATAATTATTGTCATTTTAACAATCTCTGGAATACTTTTTTTTAATTTGAAACTTGAATTCGTCATCTTTTTTTTTTTTTTCAAAATTATTAAAACTATTAAAACGTTACGAATTGTACTTGAATTTTGTCTAAAATATTGTTAAAACTTATCGATAAAAGTACAATCGAGAGGAATAAATAAATATATACATATATATATATATATCAGATTGCGGAACAATCTATATATAATAGAAACGGCAGATCGACGTTTCTTTATTTTCCTGTATACTTTTCCGTATCTGGTGAGAAAAATCGCTGGAAATACGAAAAATATCCCGCTATCGACCTTTAACCGAACGTGCACGAGGCGCACAATTCGTTCTCGTGGTGTTGAATGGCGTTTACGAGAGGAAGAAAACGTTCCATTGGAAAGGGCCTCACGCCCTCGACAATGCGGCGAGCACGCCGGGGGGGTGGAGGGCGAGAAGAAGTGGAATACGAGGAGGAGGTTGGTGGAGGAAGAAGAGCGGATAAAGCCGCGATGGTCGATTCGTTCTGCGCCCATTGTCAACCACTTGAAGGATCAGTTTTTGAGCGAAACGTTAGAAAATGGCCCCCACTTCTTTTCCGCCGCGGCTTGCCGTGCCTCGCATAATTGCGATTTAAGAGGCACGGGGCAGCTGCGACCAGGTGACAATGCCGCAGCCACTCGAGACGGACAATCGAACAATTTGGACCCCGCTGTCCTCTTCACGTAGAAGTCACGACGAGATTCTTTTTTTTCCACCGGAAGATACAAGTTTTGGCGGGCACGGATCGTTTACTGGAATTCTTCTTCCTTTCCCCCCTCGTAATTGCTTTGAGGAATTGAACAGCTTCCTTTCTTGCAAATGGCGAAGTAATATAATCTAGGAATTGTGCGTTGCAGGTTTCTAGATATATTATTATGAGGAATTTGTCAAAAAGTTGAGATAAATCGATCGAATTGGTGCAGTATCGAAAGTAGAGATACTTTAAGGTATTCGTTTCGAAGATCACTTCGTAAATATATTATTAATTTAAAATACGTCGAGAATCTCGAAGTATTTTATTATTCAACGAAAATAATTATTTTTAATAATACACAATAATTTTAAACTTTTCCAATCTTTCTTCAAAATCAATGAAATAATGCAGCAATATTAATTTCTCAATTCAAACGGATAATATTCGGATAATTTTGATCAACGAACGATACAAAAAAGAAAAAAAAAAGAAAGAGGGGGAAGAAGAAAGATCTTCTTCGTGGCATTGAAAAAGATCTACGAAGCATCTCCTCGACAAAGGTATCGCGAATAAATGTCGGATCTCATGGCGGCCCCGCGTCGATTATATAATTGCCACGATCAATCTCCATCATTCGTGAGGCAAGGGAGGAGGGAGGTCGGTATTCCTCGTTCGGCATTCACGGTCAATCCAGCCGCTTATTTCGAGACGGGAGGCGCGAGCCGTCAGACGCTCACGACCCACCTAGTCAATTAAGAAGACAGCCGATCTATTAGGGGATGCCCGTCCTCTCCTTCTCCTCCTCTTCTCTCTCTTCCCCGCGCTCTTTTTACTCCTCGTGTTCTTTTCCGCTTTTCTGCCGGCTGTCTAAGCGACGAAATAAGAGAAACAGAAGGCGGTGCTGCGCCGAGAGAAAATTGGGCGAGTTAATTGAAGGGACGATTTACATTAATCGATCCTTCCAATTCAGAGGGATTCATTTTTCAATTATTTACGCGCGAGAACGAATGAATTGTATGCATTTTGCGAATCGATAAGAAATTTTTTGACGC